TATTTTAGCCAATAAAATGCAAGTTTAAAACTCAGTTGACGAGTAAATTAACAAAAAATATTTTTGATGAGTAATTAGTAAAATTCTTTAGTTTCATTATTTTTGTTTTCAATTATATATAATAATAATAATAATAATAAGAACAAAGAAATAAACGTACACCCCGCAGGTCCGGCTTCGGAGTGTCTTAAAAACAGTCATTTCGAAACCGAACGCCCCAATTCCGAAGTCGCAGCGAGAGACTTTTCCTCACCGTCGTTTCCGCCCAATTGCTTTGGAAGGGCAGTCGCTAACCCTGTCGGCACGTATTCCTCCGGCGACGAAGTAGAGTAACTGATGTTCATTGCCATTGCTGCAGACGTCGTCACAGTCAGGTGTTCATTGAGGGGTTCTCCAGGTCTGGCTTTCAGATACCGAATTCTACTTTAATCTTTTTTCTACCTTAACTGTCTCTAATTCTCAATTAGGCTTTAATTGCAGATGAAATACTGTAGACTCAATTTCTTTTTCTTCTCTTTGTTTCTCTGGAAAACAGAATTGGCCGCGTTGTTCTCACGCAGAAAAAACGGAAGAGCTGGCTCTATTGGTGCGGCTTTGGTAGTTTTCTCAGTTGTTAACTAAATTGTTGATTACAAGTGCAGATAGTTGCAGTTGTTCGCTAACATTGAAGAGATTACTCCGATTAAATGGTAACAGCTGGTTTCTCTCTCTCTCTCTCTCCCTCTCTCTCTCTTAGTGCGGATGCTGTTCAGGGGTTCTAGTTATATTTCCACTTTGAAACAAGTTCCCTGTTTTATGTCTCCATATTATTCCTTCTTCGACTTTGGAACCAGTGGAACGCGATACATGCTTTTCTTATGACTCTTAACTAGAATAAGCAAGGGAAATATCAAATGAAGACTGATTGACTATGGCTTTTGTTGGGAAGAATAGACTAATTGAATAATGAATTCGTTCACTTGTAATTTTTATATTTGAAGTAAGTCATAACTTTTCAAAATGTTTTCTAGAGTTTAATGGAGTTATCATGTTAGGAGGTTTGGCATAGTTAAGTAAATGGTAAAAAGAAATTTCAAGTGTTTTTTCCTTGCAAATTCTCTTCAATTTCCAACTTTTATTAAATTGGTAGATTATGTTTGTTCTTTTTTTTAAATAAAAGAGAAGTAGTATTATTATGTATAAAGGCACCAAGGGAGTACCACCTGAAAAATACAAAATTAACAGTCGATCAGATGGTCCATAACAGCCCCAAAATCTTCCCAATCAGTTATGTCATGATCAATCAAAATAGAATCAAAAGTATGGAACCATTTATCCCTAATATTTATAATGTCTGTTTCAGTACCCTCAAAACCCCTAGTATTCCTATCCTTCCAAACCACCTACATAATAGAAAGTGGGATAAGGAATAAATCTTTTTTCTTATTACATAAACTAGCCCACGCTCACAACTCTTTACTAACACTACCCGCCATGGCCCACATCATTCCCATAATCCCATACAAGCACTCCCAAATTGTGTAGACCATAGGACAATGAAATAACAAGTGATTGCATGATTCTTCTTCAACCTCGCTCATGTAACACCTATTGGTTATTATCATTCCTCTCTTTCTCATAGAATCAATGGTCAAGATTTTTTCTTTGACAGCTTCCTATATGAAAAAAGCAATTCTAGGCGGAGTTTTTGACCTCCAAATTTGATTAAACGATGCTGTCTTGGCATTCTCCTCACCATTTTTGGCAATAAGATTATAGTAGGACTTCACTGAAAATCCTTTTTTCTTGTCCAGTTTTCAGATTCTTTTGTCATTCTCATTACTCACCTTCAAAACAGCAAGCCACCAAAGCAGATTACAGTATTCTGCCTCTTCATCCTCCTTTAAACTTCTTCTGACCTGAATACACCACCCTCCCCCCCTTCTCCCTTCTCAAACGCCTTCTCCACAAGAATATCCCTCTCACTAGCAATTGCCAAAATCCTTGGGAATTTATCTTTCAATTTAAAGTCACCAGCCCACTCATCCTTCCAGAATTTTATTTCAGCCCCATTACCAAGCTGCCAGCGTAAGCAGTCATAAAAGTTCTTGCTGTGGGTGCTGATTTTCTTCAATAAACTAGACCCATGGCGTTTATATTTCCCTCTCCTACCCTCATCCCTCTCCCAATCACCCCAAGGTTTGGAAATATTAATTTGCAATTCAAAACCAAATTTGTTTAAAAGTGAATTTCAATTGTTTAGAATAATTCTAAAGCAAACATGTGAGTTTACAATGTCATATCTTTTTGATGGTATTAATTTGTTTCAAACATAATGTTAAACTACTTGGATATTATTTTTGAAGATTAGTCTCCTTTTTAGCATGTGGAAATATGTCTTTATCTTCGTGTCTCAGGAAATATTCAAGAAGGCTATACTGCAGCCAGGGCCAATTGAAAGTTTTGCTCTCCAGACAGTTCAAGAGGTCATAAAACATCAGGTAATTGTGATTCACCACCTCTTCAGAATTAAGCCTTCTCTGGTCTGGTACTGTGAAAGTTGGTGCCTGTGTTACCTTGTTAGTTATCATAAACTAGGTCTGACTCCTCTCTTCTTTTTTTGTTCACTAAAAATTCTGCTTATTATTTTTATTTTGGAGTATATGCTTCCATCTGTGTATGGTTGGCTCTTGTTCTTGTACATCCTGTTTGGGCCTTTAGGGTTTTCTTTTTGTTCTTAATCTTTCGAAAGTGTACTGGGGAAATAATTTCCCTTTAGAAACATGTTACCTTTTACAGTTCTACTTTTAGCGGAAGCATGGGTCTGAAACACTGGAACTTGTTTTCTGAACAATGTTTTGGATATATTCATAAGGTTTGAGCATGGAACATGTGGTTGCATGATTCTGCATTCCTTTTGCATAGAAAAGTATCATTCACCAAAATCGTATCCTTCCTAATCAGCTTGTTCAGTGTTAAAATGCATCCTCTAGCTGCCTTCCAAGCAAAAATACTATTCTAAGGAAGCATTAACTTTACAAGTTTGCTTGAAAGGAAAGTCATTGCTCATAACCCTTCTCTTGGCCAAATAATTGTAGAAGGATCTAATGGAGAAAATCCCTCTTGCATTGAGCCTCCAAGTGGGGTGATCCCTAGTCCCATCAAGTCTAACTCTAGAGCGGGTGAGAAATAGTACCTCATACTCCTTGACTTCCCAATTATCGAGGTTCCTTGTAACCTCTCGAACCACTCACCATTCCTCATAGTGTGAAGGAAAGACTCTTGGATCAAGGCGTCTTTGTATTGAGTGACGACATAGATCTAGGCGAATTGGCTCTCAGTGTACCACTATCTAACCATGCGTCAGTTCCACAGGCCGAACCTGTCCCCGTGCCACCATCATCTAACCATGCATCAGTTCCACACGCCGAACCTGTCCCCATGCCACCACCATCTAACCATACATCAATTCCACAGGCCAACACTGTCCCCTTGCCACCCTCCAATTGATGCAATTCTAGAACTTCCTTTTATCCATGTAGATTTTCTTTCACATCCCATTACTATGGGGCTTAGATGAGTCTCTACTGAACTAACCTTTGTCTA